CTGCGCTGATGGCACCAACTATACAGAATAGGCGCGCGCGACCCACCACACACCACGTGTGATGGACAGTACTGGGCGTCGAGGTCGCGCGGGAAGTCCAGCCAGTCCGACGCCGACCATGGCCGCGAGCGCAAGCGAGTGCGTGGAAGTGGTGGAAGTGCCGCCGGTGGTGGACAAGGCCCTCAGGGATGTCGCGGCCAGGCAGGGCTACAAGAAACCGCGGTTAGTGTTTGCTGGAAGCAAAAGAGTTACAACGCCGCTGCAGTTCCTCTGAGTCACAGCCATTAATAGACGTTTTGCGTTCTTGCCGCGCTTTTAGGCGCTCCACCCAAATAACACATCGGTTTATACGTCATAAGGTCCCATAGTTATAAATCGAGGGGCAGACTGACCATCATTTTAATCCCAACAACCAAACTCTTTGGTCGTGGTGACCAAACATTCTTACATGGCGTGTTCTGTCGGTTCTGTCCTCCAGCTTCACGGTGACCTCCGGCTCGGGCGCGCGGGACGGCTTCCTCAGCACCATGTACCGGGCCCTCATCCACGACGAGGTGAGTAAGGCGCGGTCTGCGGCGGGTGGCGTCGCGGCTGCGGAAAAGTACCCGATCATCAGCGCAATTTGCAGGGCGCCGCGGAGCGTGGAACTCGTTTGGCGGGTCCACCTCCGCGTGCGCCCGTCCCCGGCACCCTCGCGTACACGAGCCCTGTCGTTCCTGCAGGACCCCACCGGCCCGGCCGACATGAGCGCCATGTGCAAGGTGTCCATGTCCGTCATGGAGAGCATCATGTCTGACGTGTTCGCGACCGAGGGACACATCTACAGCAAGGTGCTGCCGGCCATGGCGGCGGTCGCCGGCCCCGAGGCCACGCCGCGCTGGCCGCAGGTGCTCGACGTGGCGGTGGACGGCCCGCCGCCGCACTGCATCACCCTGGAGGACTTCGGGCCGCTCGGCTTCGGGCAGCCCGTGCGCACCAAGGGCCTGGACGTGGACCACTGCCGCCTCCTGGCGCAGCAGCTCGCCAAGTTCCACGCGGCCGGCTTCGTCCTCAAGCACCTCCACCCGGACAAGTACCAGGCCCTCGCGGCGCCCCTCGAGAACCTCTTCGACAGCCAGGAGTGGAAGGACACTTTCTACCCCTTTATGAGTAGCACCAGACAACTTCCAGGTAAAGCGACAGTGCGGGCATCGAAATATAATTTTGTGACTAGGGGGTGAGTTTTTACCGACTTGAGATGATTTAAAGGGGAGGGGGGGGCGGGAAAACCTGTCCTGGGTGGGTGATATGTGCCTGCACCGTCCATTTTCTGGTTATATTGTACCGAATTGGGCAGGCGTGCGGTTGTGTCCGTCATTCGTCAACACTCTTCATCGTCCCGTACGTGTATGCAACACCGACGCACGCCTGCATACGGTACAGCAGAGTCCTGCAGAGAGCAGGGCGGGGCGGGGGCGGGCCTCGGGGGCACCTGCCTACATGGCGTCCGAAGTCTGTCGTGCGCCGGCTACAGGGCTCTGCGGCACAGTACAACAAAAAAAAACACAGACGGCCTAGAGATCACCCACTGTATATACTGGGTGGTCCACCGACCACTTCCTTTACTTTGCTCGTACTATACCGCATGCACGCTTGCGGGCGGGAACTTGCATACCGTCGCTCACCACTCGTGCGATTATACAACCCGCCCGCACGCATGCATGTGGACGGTATAAGCAAAATAAAGGAAGGGGTCTGTTGACCACCCTGTATTGTGTTCTACTGTCTAAATTACTTTCCGATCCTCTCGACAGACCTGCTGGTTGCAAAGTGGCCTGCAGGCAGCAAGATGTACAATTTTGTAAAGAAGGCTACCGAATGCGTAAACGAGAACTTTAGCCTCATGATAGAGCCCGCCAGCTGGGAGAACGACGGCGAGGGCTGCTGCCTGGCCCACGGCGACTGCCAGATCAACAACGTGGCCTTCAAGTACGACAAGGTGAGGGCCGGCGCGACCGCCGCGGTACGCCTCTCCGCAACTGAACGGATGACTGACTGTGCACCTCTTTGTCGCAGGATACTGGGCGAGTCGTGGACTGCATGCTGTACGACTTCCAGATTATGCACGAGAGCAGTCCCGCCGTGGACCTGACGCGCATACTCCTGGTCTGCACGGACCAGGAGATGCGAGAAGCCCACCTGGACGAGCTGCTGCGCGGCTACCTGCGCGACCTGCACGCCCACATGCGCGCCGGGGGCGTCCGGGACCCCGAGCGTGTCTTCTCGTGGGACCTGCTGCAGAAGCACATGCGGCGCACCTCCGTGTGGCCGATCCTCATGCAGCCCATGTTCCACAGCATGCTGCACGGCGACGACGAGAACGTAGAGCAGATCCGGGAGGCCATGGCCAAGGCCGGCGCGCTCGAGGAGCAGCCCGAACTGCCAGAAATGCAGCTGCAGGCCACGCCGCTGCTCAAGCAGCGCTTCATCGACCTCATCCAGGACATCGCGGACCGCGGCTGGATGCCCACCGAGGGGGACTTGGACAAGTGGGTGGCCAGAGAGGCCTGACTCCGTCGTCATCACCGCCGCCAACGTCACCGACGACAGTGTCTTTATCGGAAGCTTAATGGTGCATTTGGTTTCGTGAGTCGAGTCGCCTCGCAATACCAAATCCACCATAAAAGGGTGTTTCAACGAAGACCGAAAAGCGAAGTAAGAAGAATAAAATCGGACCCAGGGAGCTGTGGCGAGGCTGAGGGTGGACGCGGGAGGGGAAGGAGTGGCAAGTGGGCAGGGGGGTGCTCTCCACTCCCCGCGTCCACCCTCACCACAAGTCCGGTTTTGTGCTTCTTACTTCTTCCTTTTCCTTCTCATTGTTGCACGTTGTTAAAACAACCTGCTTTATTTTTGCCTGTGATATTAGTCAATTTCCACATAATCACGACATTATTAATTAAAAATGATATAAATAAATAAATACTAACAATACTATTCAAATAATGTTGAATATTTTTGCGTTTTTAATTTTACACAATTACACCTTTTCTGACGAAAACGATCGAACCTACTCAACAGTGTGAACAAGTAGCAAGTCGTCAAAGTTCCACTGCCGGCCACGCTGCGCGCTGGGGTAGCCACCCTTCCTCCGCCAGTTGCCAGTTCGCCCGTGTCAAACCAGTGCTGTGAAACGAATGGAGTGGACCGTACCGCGCCGGTAAGACGGAGGTTTTTCCAACGCCCCTTCTCGTCTAAACCAAACCCTTTACAAGAAGCATGGGCGTGCCAAGGCACACGGGTATGTAGCATTCTGCGTCGTTCACTATAAAACAGTTTCTTTGCGTGGAGATTAGCCGAGGACCAACGGTAGACGATTGCGTTGTTTATTTGGAAGAGAGGTTAGGGCGGGTCGGCCCTGTTTGTTTGTCTTTTAAAGTCGGCGATGGTCGCGTGTCGCGTGCGTGCCGAGTCACGAGCACGAGGCGAAGCGCGCGGCAGTTAATCGCAGAGGTTAGGGGCATGTTTGCGAATGGGTTATGTGGCGACGAGTTGGCTCGCGTGTGCCAAACACTTACCGCGCTTCGAGTATGGGTCTTCCGTTGCTGCGCCTCGTCAGCTCGGCGGTCGCCGGTCGTCCGTCTTTGGCACTGCACTGCACTAACCAAAAGAAAGGCTTTTGGCAACAGGCGCGATTTGTTCAACAACTTTGTCGTCGCGTCGGTGACGCGATGCCCCGACGTCCTCTAGTCGCGGGTGTCGCCGCGTTGCATCACACGACACTGTGTGCTTGTGCTCCGCCCGGCCGCGCCCGCACTTGTCACTCGTTTCATTTCCGGTAATTACTTTATAGTCGGCCCACTATTACTTCACTGTTCGGAAAAGGTCACGTGATGGGCCTGAATGCCCTCTAAGCCAATTAGAAGCCTCGTCAGCGAAAACCCGAACATTGAAGTAATCGAGGGACGACTACAGTCTGACCAGCGAAAGAATGCTTCTGGTTCCCATAAGCGCCCATGCTATCGAGAAGCATTCTTTGGCTGGTTCGAGTGTATAGTTGCTGACCACATTTTGATTCTCGATTCGACAATGCTTGCCGCCCCAGGTGACGGGCACCGGCGATGCCCCGTCTGCGCGCTGAGCGCCGAGGCCGCCGTGTCCGCGCTGCGGTTCCGCTCGCCCCAAGAGATCCGGAGGCATCTCCTGAGCCACGGCGTCGGCGACATCACGGTCCGGGACGAGACCGTGACCGCGGACAACAGGCGGCGCCGGAGCATGAACTCGGTGCACGCGTGCAGCACGTGCCACAAGGTGTTCGCCAACAGCAGCAACCTGAACCGCCACGCCAAGACGCACCTTGCAGGGGGGCGCGCGACGGACATCAAGAAGGCCTCCAAGTCGCTGGACGCCAAGGACGACAAAGAGAACGTCGAGCTCGGCAGGGCGGAGCGCAAGCGGGTGGCCGCCAAGAAGAAGGCCGGCGCCACCCCCACGACGATCAAGAGCGAGGACCCGATCAAGGACGTCAAGGAGGAGCTCGCCGACAACCCCACGACGACCGACGGCGAGGATCTACTCAAGGACGACGTCAAGAAAGAGCCCGTCGACAGCACGACGACGACCGACAGCAAGGACACGCTCAAGGACCTCGTCAAAAAGGTGGTCTTCAAGAAGACGCCAGTCGCCTCGCCCAAGATGATGGTCTCCAAGGAGCTATCCGAGGACTCGAAGGAGGTGTCCTTGCAGGCCGCAGCGACGTCCCCTCCGGGTCCGGCAGACGCCCTTGCCTCCCACAGGAAGCCGAACTTTGACTCATCCAGTCCTTTTACCTGGAGTAAAAGGTTCCGGAAGGTACGTTCCCTTGCGTCGTACGAGTTTGCTTTTCTGTGTACTTCAGCCAACAGCGGAGGTGGAACAGCGGGTAGACCTGAAACGTTTCCGCCCTTCCGTTCTACCCGCTCTTCGTCCCGCAGTTGTCACACTCCAAAATTGCTACAAAATTTGTTTTTCTGGGCCTCTGCAGGTCGCGGGCGTCATGCCGATGTCGCCCCTCGCGGCTTCAACCCCAGAAAATTCAGGTAAGGTCAAACGTACAAAATGCTATTTTTCTTTGTTATTGAGTCCGAGAGTTCATTGACACTTCAATCTAGCCTCCCCGTCTCTTGCGCAGACAAGTCCCGCCCTATCTGGATGGAGTGCCCGCAGTGCTGCCAGCGCCTTGACTCCTCGACCACCCTCTGGTCGCACATGAGGCGGGTGCACGGCCAGCGGAGGCACGGCCTGCCGACGCCCGGCACCGCCTAGCAAGCCTTGTAGGTCTGGACCTGCTCCGCCTGGTATGTGAGATCCGCTCCTTTTACTGGTCATCATCATGTATTCCGTTTGACAATTTAGTTATATTTTTTATTACCGACTCTGATCTATGATGAGTGATTAAGTTTTGTTTTACCGCCACTGACCTGATTAGTATGATTTAGTTTTGCCTAATCCCCCTTAATCTATTATGAGTTATGTATTACCGCACCTGATCTATGTTGAGTGATTTTGTTTGATTGTACTGTCACTCCACCACTTATCTGTGTTGAGTGATGAAGTTTTGTTTAATCGTTCTTGATATACACATGCTGAGTGAACTTTTGTCTCATCGCTCCTCAAATGTGTAAATTTGTTTCTTTTTTATTTAAATAGCACAAGTTTGAAATGCACTTGCATTGTTTCTCCTTTCTTTGACCTTACACTGGTAAAACAAGTGTTTAATGTTGTGCGTCAATTGGTGTTAAAGTTCAAGTGTGCTTTTTCTCAACACATTGTGGTGTCTACTTACGATAAACGTCGAAGTGTACCAGCTTCACACCATATGGTTCCTATTGACAGCATAGAACTGTGTGTGTCCAAGTGTGTAGAATTAAACTTCTGCAAATCGTTTAAAGTGTGCACACCACGCAAAGTGTGCAACTTTGAGTTAAACACCATGTAATGTTTAAAGTCCTAACTTGCACACGTTGGCGTTCAAATTATGCACACTTGTTTTATCAGTGCACGCTTTCTGTTTCATCCCCCGTTTGTTTGCTTTCACCCCTTCAACACGGCCATGAGCCATAGCGGCTCTCCGTGGCCAGACTGTAGGACTCCCCTGGCGCGGCGGCGCGCTTGGGGAGCGCCGGGGAGCTAGGCAGCCCATCGGGCGCGCGCGTGAGGCGAGCGGCGTGTCGGTCGGCGCTGCCTCGGTCGAGCACTCCAGTGGTGGTCGAGCCGAGCGCAGTGTAGAACGCGGAGGGGTTGTGTTGCCCTCTTCAGCGCCAGGCGAGGCTAAAGAGCCCCAGAGCCTCTGAGGCTCTTTAGGCGAGGCCAATAACTAGAAGATATCGCCCGGCCCGGCCGGCAGTTACCTCGTGCGCGGTCTGCGTGTATCGTTCATTGCGATGGTCAGCTCGCTTTATCGCTTCCGTTGAGCGGCGAGCGCGCGCAGCTCACAGTAACGACCCTCTGGCCTGACCCTCCCGGTGGTCGACTCGGACACTGCCAACGACGCCGGATCCGCGGCCCGCGCCCTCGCGACGTTAGTATTCGCAGCCCGCGCTGCAGCCAGCCTCCTCCTGGTGCAGCTCTGCGGCCGCCCGGCCCGGCCACACTGTGGGACGCTGGCGAACCTGGTTCTCACGACCGCCGCCGCCTCCGCCCCGTCAGACCGGCCCTAGGAGGAGAGGCCCTCCAGGCTGCGGGGCTGGCTAGTTTCGCCCCCCCCCCCCC